CAGGAGCGTTTGCCAACTGGTTCTACGCATGTGACCTTCCCAGCAGGCATCTTTGCGTAACGGGAGGGCAGGCTGTGCTCTGCCTCATCCCTGAAGCAGAACACAGGGATTTTTCAAATATTAATGGCAACTGGCAACTCCACAGTGACTACCAGGCAGCCGGTTCTGGGGAATTGGATACTGGCCCTTTGCTGGTGGCACACGATGGAGGGCGCGTGCCAGGGACAAGGGGTGTAACCATTAACGAGGCATTAATCACAGCACAACTGGCTGGCCCGTCTGCCTGTCTCCAGGCAGAGGTTAAAATGCAGGTCTTACCAACGGCATCTGAGCCTAGGGCACAGGACCTGAAACAGGTCCCTGTTGGCCACTCCAAACAGTTCCCTATGTCCCTCTGTCGCCTCAAACACCTTTGCCCCAGCCTGGCCTGGTCTGCCCACAGGCAGGGGCTAAGGTTGGAATGGGGCTCTAATGCAGGATCTGTATCTTTGAGCAAGAAAGGGTCCTCCCAATTGCAGGTCTGGAAAACACCCCCAGGGCACGTGACCCATCAGCCTGCTGCACAGAATGAGAAGCAGAAGAGAACCCGCCTGTCAGCAGTATTGGAATTCTGACCTGTCTGAATTCCAAGCAAGGTGCCTGTCACAGGTGTGCCTCAGAAGGCTGGGCACAGAGCTGGTTCTTAGCAAGTATTTTTAGACCTGACAACAAAGCTGGGGCGAGAGGGAGTCTTGCTGGTATAATCATTTTAATAGGCATTCAAAATACTTCCTGGGCGCCTGTGTACCAAGTCCCGCATACAGAGACGCAAACTCTCAATGAGCCGCTGCCTACGGGGCACGAATGGATGGACCGTGCCGGCCCTGGCACAGGTGCGCGAGAGAGGAAAGCACAGGGCATCGGGGGCCTCAGCTGGGTCCTGAGGGACGAGAAGGCCCTGGCCCAGGAAGCAGAAGTGACCGCATGGGCCGAGGACAGGGCCGTAGAGGGCACAGCCTCTCGGGGCGGGGAGCCCTTCAGTCTCTAAGAGGGCAGGCCAGTGATCATCATCCACGGCGCAGACGACAGAACAGTCCTACAGTCCAGCCACACAGGCTCCCGGAAGCCAAAGGGCATGAGACCGAGGCCTGGCCTGTGCTGGGTGGTGGGGAGGGACATCCCCAAAGGGCAGGGAAGGATGTTTGAGGCAGGAGGAATTAATGCATACACCTGGATCTTTCTAAGGCCAGCAGCTTTACCAAGATTTGAAGGCTAGCACTATCTTTGCTGGAAAAGAAATTACTGAAGATGGAGACCCCCTGCAAAATGATACAAGGAAATGCTGAAGGGACAGAATGCAAAGAGAAGCTTTCAGTGGAAGCAGGTAAGGAGCTACATTTAGAATACTACACAGTAACTTTTATTGGTAACAGAATCGCCCATCAGTAAGCAACACCCTTCACTGTGTGTGGTACCCAATTAAAATTGTGTAACAATTAGGCAGACACAGTTTCAGATTATCGAAAACAGGCCAGGCCATGTCTCAATCACCTGTAAAAGGAGAGAGGAGCTTGGGTAGGCTGGAGGGAGAAACCAGGACTGCTCACATGTGACCCCTGCCAACAGGTCCTTGTGCAATACCCAAGGGAGACTGATAAGGTCACACAGCCAGGTGGGGGGGGGGGGACATAACTGCCATAGGACAGAATAAGATCTTGTCTTGGGTGCCCTAAGTGAGGGGCATGTTCCTTCAGAGGCAAAGATAACTTCTAACAGCCCACTGTGCACTTATCTGAAGGCCAGACCAGCCCTGTGGGGCCCTGTGCCACCTGAGGGCAGAGAGAGGCTCCTTTTGCAACATGGGCCTTTCCCCACCCTCTCCCCCTCAGCCCCCAGGTGTGGGAGGAAGACGGGAGGGCACCACACACTTGCTCCTCAGCATCGAGAGTCTTTCCAAAGTCCTGCTTACTGCTAATGCTGATGTACCACACAGAGATTGGGGTCCTAGAAGTACAGCAAGGGGACCTCAAGAATTCCACAACTTTGAATCGGTCTCTGGGTCTGGAAAACACTTTTTTCAGAGATCTAACTATAAGAATGCTCTGAGGGGACCAACCCTTGGTCTAGAGGGAAACTGGATCCTTTGAGATGAGTGACAATCCGGGTTTCCCAAAAGGCACATAAAGCCATGAGACAGGAAGGCCCCTGGCATCAATCATCTGATTTTGCACCTTTAGAATCTTACATTTCGCTGTTTACTATAACCAACAAACTCGGGCCCTATGAGAACGAAGAAGCCCATGATCCTGCCCCCAGGCCCCAAAGGCAAGGGCTTATGAATCAGACTTCCTTTACCTCACCCATCCTCTGTTGTATGGACATAAAACATCAGGTGCCTCCAGGCTTCTCTTGCTTACTCCATACGCTCCCCTGGGGAGGCCCACCCCAGTCCCTGTGGCTTCAGCACGACCGGAAGGAGTCCCACACACGTTCTCGAGCCGAGGACGTTCTCCTTGGCTCGAGACTAATGTACATCCACCCACCATTGGGAAGCCTTACTGACCTCCAGCTTAGCATCTCCACACTGAAAGTCGTCACCTGCCCCCAAGCCAGCTTCCTTCCGGCACCCCGTGTGCGTGGCATGGCGCTGCCAACTGCTGTCACCCGCTCCTGGAGCGTTCCCTATGCCTCCGTTCTCCCTGGCCCTTCCCCTCCCTGCAGGCACCTGTCCCCCAGCACCCTTCTTCTGTGCTGGGCCTACGTCTGGCCAGGGAGGCTTCTGTGGCCCCTTAATGGCTTCCAACTCAGCGCAGGCCTTCACCACCCAACACGGCTACCACTGCCCCCTCACCCATGGAGAAGGCGATCTGGTCAGTCACTCACAAACCCGAGGTCCCTTGGGGGCTTCCCACTGCTCTCAGGGTAAAGTTCAAACCTGAGCCTGGAACTCAAACCCTCTTCCCAATCTGCCACCAGCCTCGCCTTCCCTGACCACCGGAGTTTCCCAAGGCCCTTCCTGCAACAGCAGGGTGCGAGGTAGCTGTGCCCTTCTCCCTGCAAACATAACACGCACCATCCCTTTGCCTGGAAGTCTCTTTCCCTCACACGATCTCGCCACATCTATTCCTTCTTCAAAATTAGCTCAAGTCCTTCCTAGGAATCCCTACTGAAAGCCAGCCGGAGGCTACTGCCCTCTCTCCCCAGCAAACTCTGTCCACGTCTGCAGGCACGCAGCGGCTCACCTCCTCCCTGCACCGTAACCTCCAGCGCAGAGGCTCCCACAGCTTTGCGGCCACAGAACAGCACGGGGCCTCCTTGTGCGAAGGGAAGTAGGATTTCGATAACTTTGTGTTGAAAGCATAATGAAAACCACTGAATAAAGAATTCAAGTGGATTCTTAATAAAATGCCTGAGTTTTTTTTTCCCCCTTTGATATTATCTCCCTTTGGAAAGTGACACTCGTAACAGCCACTGAAATTGCTGCTTTGAGTTGAAAAGGGCTTCTTTCTTCCATGGACAGAGTTGTCATAACAGGAAAGGTATGCTTCAACAGGTAAAACATTGAACAGGGTAAACGTTAAGTGCTTTTTTATAACCTGCTTCATTGTTCTTATGTACTTTAAACCAGAAACCATCTAAAAGCAAACACTTAAATATGTTTTCTGAGTTGGCTCAGATCGTAACTGGAATTAGGAGCAACACGGTGTACCCAAGGTCACTTGGCCTGCTGGACAGTGTTGGCAGGTGTGCTGAGGCCCACCTGCAGGTGAACTTGGAGACTCAGGAGGTGAATTTTATTACTGTTATGAAAAGCCTGTCCAGATGACGCCTACGTTCGCCGAAGGTCACCCTTAACCCAGATGAAAACTACCACACTAGCTTTAGCACCTTGGTTCATTTCAACAGCCATTCAGAGAGAACCACCTGCCCACTCCATGCCAGACAATAGGGGAGCAAAGATGAATGTGACGTGGCTCTCACCCTGCTCGCAGGGAGAGACAAGCTTCTAAACAGAGCACTTGCTACCCAATAAGCGCTTCACGTAAAGGCTTTATCTGAGGGCTGAGAAGATTACTTGAGGACCAATCTTCAGAACAAAAGAAGTGCATGTGGGGCTTGCACCACTGGCTAGGGCTAACTGCAAAACCTTTCTGAGATTTCTTGATCTCTTCTTATCTGGGTTTGCTTCTCAGAGCCTGTATCCCTTCAAATGAATAGAACCTGCAAGCTTGTCTCCAAGACTATTAAGCAAACAGTTACAGGTGTCTGCTATGAGCCCTCACCCTCAAGTGGAGGGAACAGCTACATCTGTGGAATAATAGGGTTTTTTGTTTGTTTGTTTTGGGGGCGTTGTTTTTTTGCGATTGCCCCGCTGACACCTGAGCAAACATACATCAAAATAATGAAAACCACCTTCAAGTGCCCCTATTGGCCCCAGAAAAGCAGACGGACTCCTGACTAGGAATAAAAAACTGGGGAAACATCGAAACACCAGCATCACAACCACAGCCACACTGGCCACCAGGCCTGTGCCTCCCGCGCACACCGCTATCTTAAGTCTACTTGTGCCTCCCCATAGCCCAGGTGGCTCTTAGACAACCTTTGGCCTTTAATGTCAGTGGCAATCCAGGAGCCCCAAAGCGTCTGTTCCTGTACGGAGTGAGGTCATCAATGAAAACCTGTAGCCAGGCCACCAGCACCCCTGCCCAAAGAAAACCGTGACCGGGTGCAGCCTATCCCTGACCTCCAGCTGTGCTTACTCAAGGCTCGGAAAGCACAGTGCCGGGGGCCCTGCGGAAATGCTTCCTTCTGCCGGCAAGGCCTGGAGGACGGCTGCCGCCTGGCACAGCAGCCACGCCAAGGGCTCCGAGGCTGGGCACAAAGATACCTAAGCGGCAGGTGGGCGGGCGTGTCATCCTGGGGCAATCAGAGAGCCAAGAGGAAAGGAGTTGCAGGTCTTCAAGGACAGAACGTTATCAGAGAATTTGTTGCAATTTCGAGTCCAGAAGAGGATTTCCTACCCCGCAGAGCCGGAAAGTGCCCCGAGAAAAGAGTGACACAGGAACAGCTCTTTCCGACGCTTCGCCCTGGACGCTTCGCCCTGGGCCCGCCGCAGACCTTGGAGGGTCGGGGGCGCCGGCCCTGCCCCCGGGGTGGGCGTCCGGCGGCGCGGAGGTGGGCCCCGGC